GGAAGCCCGCAACTGGCTCCAGCTCTGCTAGACGCAGCAATTCTTGAGCTTGTATAAGAAGGTTCTTTCCAATAAACAAGCTTCAGGCGTGCACGCGTCGGCTGTCATTTTATCGCTCGATCTCGCCCTCACTCGCGCTTGGCAGAAGATCGCTATAGGAATTGGTTGAACTCATGTTTTCACAAGAAACATTTTATTCTCTTTGACAGTCCCTTGTCCTGTGATTTGGGATTAGAACCATTTCTTCCCTTCCATTAGCTCCGCCCACTTGATTGCCCCGCCCTTAAGAGCCATTTTTTCTCAAAATGCAGCGTGTTTAGTGGGTGAATTCGGTGTGAGAAGTGACTTGCTCAGGAATACAGCATGCAGCAGACTGTTAACGGCCTCGCACCTGCTAATTGTGTTACTGTTCTACCGGTTCTCGGCACAAGGAAGAGCGTGAGCAACATTGTTGCCAGCGATCGTGGTGTGAGAGGCCAGGCGGGTTGTTTACCACCGAGAATCTCCAGCTTTCAGCTGTGTATAATGAAGATGATGACCAATATTACCAATCAAACGGACGGCGAAATGTGATGGGAGAAATTTATGCAGCATTTCTCTCTGGGGCGTTTTTCTCTTGTCCGCATATGTGATCTTTTGGCGGCAGAATTCTCCCTCAGCGCCAAATAGCCATCGCGAGGGGCGCACGAAGAGATATAGTATGCAAATGAGCGCCCCAACAGTTGAGTATAGAGCAGAATGGATAATGATTTGGTAATAATGTGCAATAATAATAAAATTTAATATTTTCCCAACTTCTCGAAAGAAGCAACGGTTCTGTATTGTTCGCCTTTTTAAACATCTCCCGCTCAACAAAAGCACATAATGATAATTTGAAGACGCGCGGTAATGTATGGAAAAACACAGAGGAGGAGGCAAATTTGACGTGGCAAATTGGTTAATCATCTCTTTTACCGTTGAAAATCTACCCCAAACAATCCATAATAATCAAACCGCGCTCTAAATGCGTGCAGAGATTTTTTCTCCTTATCATGGCCGCGTGAGTCTTGATAAATTTGCTCTCCACGCAAATGCGATGAGTCAGGACATTTTTTTTCCGGCCACGCGAGCGTTTTTGTGTAATGAGAGGACACTGTATTTCCCACCTTTAACTCCTTCCGAGTCCGCCACACTATCATAAATTACGGCTCCCATGGCGCACGCATTCCCGCAGAATTACAATTTATTTCAATTTGCATGGCATTTATGCAGATGATTTATAAGTTGAACTGGGCCGTTCACAGTGGAACCAATATCACAGTGACACGGTCTTGAATCATGTTGCGTCACGCCGAAATGGTCAGAAGTGGAGCATCGGGGGCACCTAAATTGTGGTTTCACCGTCTTAATTGCAGATTAAATGCCCCCACAATCATCATCCTCTCGCGCCCATGGAGTTACGACATAGAGGGATATTTCACATAATGAGATAGAATTCTCCCAAAAGAGAAATCATGGACCGGGTGATTATGAGATTCGTTAAAGAGATTCTCAATTTGTTTTTTATACCTCGCTTGGCTGGAGGAATTTTAATTTATACATAAAGCGCGTCTTGTCGAGGGCTCTCTTGGCGCCTCTCATTGCCGCGTTTTTGGTGTGTGAATGTTGTAATATGAATTCCCAGTAACCGATTAAGATGATTCACACTAATTGCGGAGAACATAAATTTACAGTATTTGTAGTACAACTTGAAATCAGATTTTGTAACTTTAAGCCTAACTATGAAGTGATTTGAGTGATATTTCAATTGCGGATTATAATTAGCCATATAGGGAAGATCTGTGAGATTCTGTGAATTGAACGCCACGCCCATTGATAAGCCCCGCCTCTTCAGCTGTTCTCCTGCTTTCGTAACGCGCGAAAAGTCACTTTCCGTTCAAAACTTCCCCGTTCTTCTGTATTTGGCAGGAATTTGTCAACCTGGGCGGTTGGCCAGTCTTCGAGTTGATTAACGAAGTGAGAGTGGCATGTCACTTTTTAGGTCATGGCGAAATCATCGATAAGGTGGTGCAGTGGCTGCAGAGAGATGGCCAGGTGACGGATGGCAAAAAAGACGCAAGCGTAGCGCGGCAGCAAATGAAATAAAAGTCATGCCCGATGGCTCGTCTTGGTTTTTTCCGCACTTTGCACCTGGCAAATGCAAATTGACTCATTCAATTGATATAATAGCCTTCTGCTGCCATGAACTTGTCGTTTTTTTCACCCATATCGAAAGCATGTTTCCTCAGCATCACGCAGAATGTCCACTGCTTGGATGTCTTTTTCTGCGCACTGGTCGCACTGCAAAGTGGATTATTGTGCTGCATTGCATATAGATTCTCACCTGCATTCTTTATTCTTTTTTTTTCTCCCATCGTCAGCAAGTTATTACTTGCATGGATTGACACAGATCTTCGTACCATTGACCAGTACTGCTCTAGAACGGAGTTCTGGAGGTTTTCCCACACTGGGAACTCATGACTGAAGCAAAAGCCTGGCAAAAACCCCGCCAAGATTCATGACGCGAGGACTCAAGTTTCATGATCAAAGACACAAAACGCCTTGCATGCAACTCCTCAACCCTTCGAAAATTGGGTGCATCCGGTGTTTGTCTCACGCTTCGCATAGTCTCATCTCCACTATCGTGATGTTGCAGAAATCGCTTGTGAATTTTTACTTTCGGATGATTTAATCTCGTCAATGGCAAAGAAAGAAAGTTCAATGAGTGAGCAAAATCTCGCGTTTTCGCTTGTCTAGCGTCTTTTACTTCGATTGTGCCATGGAAAAAATTTGTCTAACGGACTTTCATGCTCGAAAGCACTTCATTCTCCGCGGCTGACGGTTTTTAGTCATCACTTGAAACCATATCGTTCACTTGGGGAAATACAGAGGCGCATCGTGCATACGAAATCCACACAATTTGTGCCCCTATTAAAAAAGACCAAGACGACAAAAGTCCAACCGCTCTTTTTCCCTACGGAAACAATGACGAAAGAGAGGTTGAAGTGAGTGAAGAAGTGGATAGAAGTCAGATAATAGAGAATAGACGTTAATTTTACATAGTTTTATGTGCATGGCAGTAAAAAAAAAGAGGAGAAGAAAAGAGGAAAGAAATGGAAGAAAGTGAATAATTTAATTGTATTCAGAACATTCCTATAAATTCCGTCAAATTATTTTGCCATTTCGCCTCATAATATGGCACCTTTGTGTGCAGTTTGGCGACGTGTTGGGCCCATAAAATTATTAATGACGGAATTACTTAATTTATGCGCTGGCCAGCGTGGAATTTCCCTCGAAAAACACCGCACATGCATAATGCCATGGCAATACTGCAGTGTGGATGCTGCTCGAAACGCCAAGTGCTGCTCACTAAATCAATATTTATGTGCGCTAAAAGTGTAAAAAAAATATTTGTTCCTTCCTCGCGAGTGCACCTTTTCTGTCATCTGCGCGACCGCGAAACGGGTTGGCATTCTGGTCACTGATGCATAAGTGACTAACGCTGCTAATTCGATGGAGGGTTTATTGGGTGCAATTAGAAAATTGTGTCAATGGTGGGCAATCTGTCTTGCCCGTTTCCCGCATTCTCAGGGAATTTTCACACTTTACTTTCATAATTGCACTTGAAACTTGAGTGAGTGATTTCAGCTCTTTCACTTGCTAATTACTGCACATTTAGGATTGTAGGTGAGCAATAAACAACCACTCATATTTCTTATACTTTTCTTAGCGACTGTTGCAATGCAGTTCATACAAAGTGTTGAGCTAAACAGATTTTTAGCCTATTTTACAAGCTTGTCAGTTAAAGAATGCCTGAAATTGTTAGGTTGTGACAATTATTCTGTGTGATATTTCTCTTTATCACGCGTTTGTTGGTTTTGCCAAAAATCTCTTGATTGCCTCTCATTTTCAGAAATTGCGTGCTTCATTTGCTGAATTTACTCACGATATCTCAAATTGGCTGAATTGGTATTCATTGGGCTTCCCTGTAAAGCGTTTACAAAGTTTTCCTCACACCTTTCTCAGTGCCGAAACGGTGACAGTGGCACTTCGGAACACCTTCTCGACGGTGAGTTGAGGGAGAGTCTGGGAGAAATATGTTTTCACTGCGAATGGCCCCGGCCAAGGGGTAGATAATACAGCCAGAAGTGGTGTACAGCTCATCAGAAGTATTTAACAAGTAAAAGCGTTCAAAAACGCACAATCTTCCTTTCCTGCGTGCTTCTTTTACTGATGAATCATCGAGATTCTCTGAATTTGAAGAATCCTTAATGCGCAGAGTCTTTGAAGATCTCTTAGTTGCATTTGTGAGGTTATGGTCGGAAAAGATGTCCAAAAACAGCGGTTTTAACTTGATTCTTGCAGAAATATCGAATGGAAACAGACTTCAAATTCCATGTTTTAGAAGTGTGCAAATTTGGAAGTGTTTGGAAGTTGTGTACAGATTTAATGCATGCTGTCTCCCCCTTGGCCCCGGCAATATTCAACTTTCATGCTTTTGAAGAGCATTAAACACCCACACCGCGAGCACTTGGCGGATTATTGTTACGGGAGACACAAATCATTGGGGAATTCCTCGCGACACGCTGACGAACTCCACCCAAGGAGTGACAAATAATTGTGCGCTCTCGATGGCGTCACTCGCGCGATCCTCATTGGAATTATTCCTCGCGAGTGCACCTTTTCTGCAGCGCGAAGGCGAGATGAGAGACGCTATTTGTGAACCGGAGGTCTCCAGAGCGATTTGTCTTGTGATTGGTGTGTGACAAAAATTAATGAGGTTTTCTTGCAAAATGCGACAGCAGAATGTATATACTATGTACTTCATTCGCCACTTTCAATTATGTACGTCAAGATAATCTCGCCTCATTTTTTCCCCATCGTCTAGACTGTGAGCACTAATTTGCTCCGCAACACAGAGAGAGAAAAGCTCAGCGAAAGCTCAGCAGGATAAAGTAAGTCAATGGGATTATATAACTCACACGTAGAGCACTCGCGATGCGGCCAGTGAGTCATCCGGAGGGGGCCTGGATGGTGACTTGAGCGAAGAATGCATCTCCATTGTGGACTCTGGAAGATGATGACTCTTCCTCTCGTTGCGGTCGTAATGTGGCCAATGGAGAAAACGTGTCAGATATCCATCATCTGTGAAGACCAAAAGACACACACAAACACTGTATAAAAAGGCATGGCAAAACGTGCAGTGTAATCTACATAAGTTTTAATGTGCAACATTATTAATGAAGAAACTACATGTGATTTATATTTCGCATAAATTTCCTCACTTGGCTGGCGCAAGAGGGGCTCATTTCCCAACTCGCGCTCTTCATTCAGAGAAACACACTCTACAATCCATCTGTACAGACTCTGCAATATCTGCACATGTGGAAGCATTCGGCGAAACTCTTGGAAACTCTCGTGTCTTCTCTGAAACCCTCGTGAAAACCAACATGAGGCCACTTGAAGTGTGGTTTCACAGCTCAATTCCCCTGAAAAACTCAGAGATTTCGTCTGATGAGAAATTGTCTGCGGTGTGTGGGTATATGGGAAGGAAGAGGAGGTTATTTACCTCAAGAATGCGGTAATTTGGTCACGCATTGTCACTCATGCCTCTTGTTCTCTGAATTCATTCTTTGAATTCATATTTCACCCTGGAATAAACCGTGCATGAATTTCGATTTGCTATTAAAGCCATCGAGTTCTCGATTCAGCCTGCAATTGTGGGTGGAAGAGAAATTTATTGAGACACCACGAAGTCGACTAATAAGTAAGTGAGAAGTGTCTAAATGATCTAATCACGCGCGGCCGAAAATCAACTTGGAGCCTCCTTAATCATCAGAAATTATATGGCACTTCACGATGGAGATTTCCTCATGATTTTTACAGCAATGGCCAGAAGAATAACACCAATTTGGAGAGAAAAGACGCTTAATTTGCCAAGGTGTTAGATGGAGAATGATTGTGTCCACACGATTCCTCTTTATGGTGCATTATAAATTGCCTTTTAATGGATGCGCAATTAGCACAATTTGAGGCTTGTGATATTTGAGCACGAATGCCCATCTAATTAAATCTAAATATTTCATACCACGCCACAGCGAAAATGAATCACTTTGCATTCTATTACAGCCTTTTCAACCATACTCAACACTAAATCCTGCGACATCAAAACGATATCAAAACAGTGTGCAGAATATTATTTGACACTTCACCTTTTTGTCCCCATCAAAAATTCTAACTCTGTCAAGCTGAGCTTGTAAAGTGTGTCAAACTATAAATGTTGTGACATGCCAATCAACCTGTGGTGCATTTTCCATGTCGCATGTTTGTTCAGTCTGAAAATCTGTGCAGCTTTCAGTTTTCGATGCAATTGATGAGGTATCACAACAGGACGACGGTTGGCGGTGTGCAGAGAAGGTATGAAATACGAGATTATTATTTGAATGCCTGATAAACCTTTGACTTTCCACTGTTTTACTAAAGCTGTGATTTTCTATTGGCCATCGTGGAATACGCTTGCCACAGTGTTGAAAGGATAAACCATGTAATTGGTGTCAAAAGTGGTATTTATGTGGTTTCCGCACGCATTTTATCTTAGCCAGCATCTCTTATGCGTTGAAACACCCTCGATTTTTTCACTCTGCGTAGATGCAAAAGCTGTGGCTTTCAGAACAGCCCAGGCAGTGAATAAGTCAGAATCAGCAATTGGTAAAATTATGACAGTGTTGCTGCACATAACTTCATTTGGGCGACAGGACAATCTCGCGGCACTGAATTTCCATTTCATTGGAGGTTTTAAAGCTGAAAAGCCTCAGGCTTTCATGTGGTAGCGTTTTGCCACACTTTTCTCAAGAGGTCTAATAAATTTTCACCACTATTTATGGCAGCGATCAAAACTAATTTATTCACATGTGCGACACAAGTGCGATGTGTATCAAAAGTCCTTCTGGCTTGCAGTCTTCATGCTGAGCCTCCTTTGATAGAGTTGAGGAGATTTGGAATTGCAAAATGCGAGACTCACAGTGAAAGTTCCATTTTAATTATTTCACATATCGTCTTTATGTGTTGTTTCGCATCGTAAATAATAAAGCATGAGGTCTTTATGGAAGTTATCAATCTCTTTATGTGAAATTACAAATGTTCGTGACTTTACTTTACCGTCTTGCGAACTTGCCATGGCTCTCGGATGAAACTGAAAGGCACCGGAATCGAAGGGTTCGCATAATAATTACGAGTTTCAGCCACATCTCCGCGCACAATTTCTTTTCAGCAAATACCCAGAAACTTCCTCTCTTTGGATTTCCTACCTGGATATGTAGAGATTGTGTTGTCAACCCATAAACGCCTACATTTCCAACAATAAAATTGCCACTATTGTTTGATAATTCGCCACTCACACCTCATTCATAGACGGCAACTTTGAATATGACCTCGTTCTTCTTATTCTTAGCTCAGTTTCAGCCTGAAATTGTCTTGCAACCTTTGCCAACGATGCTCAATAGCTCACAATCAAATTCACTTTTAATTACACTCACAGCATTGTTCTTTTTCCCTCTGATGCAATATCGTGTGGACTTTTTATACCGCAATTCTTCTCAATAAACCATTGACTAGCGCGCGTTTCCTTTTCTCTCATGCAACGTGTGCTTGCTGAATTCACTCGTTTCGCCTAGGATCTGCTGAGGAAAGTCCATGAATAATCCAATAAATTCGCCTATGCTCACTTCCTGGCTGAAACTCTTCATTGGAGGGCACAAAATGCATTATTCACAGCATTTTATGTTCACTCAATTTTTCAGAAAGCTCCATCATATGCTATCAAGTAGCCTTCATTCTCATCACCAGGAAGTTTCTATGCGGATTTTACGCGTCTGCAATTTTCCAACCACACAATATGATTGAATAAATTTCACAGTGAAGCTCAACTTGATGACAAGCTTATAGAAGTAGCATTAAATGTGTGTGATGAGCAGAAATGTTTTTTAGGCATCACGTAAGGAGATAATAATACTCTTATTGTCTTAACATTGTGTGCTTTTTGTGCGCTTTTATCGGTGATTACTGTGGCGGAAGTGCAGTCATTCTAGCCTCGTGGAGCACACTTGCAATTACCATTATACTGGAATATTGTGATACAGACCATATTCTGACCAATGATTCCTGCATGAAAATAATTACTATGAACTTATGTTTTCTTTTCTCCTGCGGAAAGTTCTGTGGCAAAGACGGGAGCTGTAATAAATTTCACGGGAACCGCACCAGTGCTCGTAATCATCATTATTAATAATGTTACATGGACGAGAGAGTCAAGCAAGTGTAACCCTTTTTGATAGTCCTGAGCCAAAGGGGGTGAGAACATTAACGTGGGAAAATATGCTTTTCTTTATCAGACAGGATGGCGGTCTGAGGGGGAAAACGCCAACCACGGAGTCAGCAAAGAGGGTCTGTTTCCCGGGGAAAAAAAAAGGAATTCTCCGTACTCCAATTTGGGTGGAATCCAGCGCAATGTTGGAGGCGGAAAAAATGTAGTGTGGAAAAGAGGGATTTAAAATACTTTACATGCTCTTGTGTATGTGCTAGGAGAGAATGGGGCAGTTTTGGAGTCCTATTCGCCCCTTTCTGGCACGGCCCCATTCTCTCCTATTACATAATAACATTATAAACTATGCAGTAAACACTTTTATGCAGCCTTTTGCAGATTTTTCATGTGGGTTTTCCATAGAATTCTCATGGCTTTATTGTGTTTTTGGATGAACGGCTTTATTTAATTTACTTCCATTACTGCAAAAGGCTGTGAAAGGCGTGAAAAACATGTGGGAAAATTCATTAACTCTTAAGTAACAGGCTTTCACTGAGTGATGTGACATCTGACAAAACCAGCAAATCAATTTACGACACTGAATGGAAAAGCGCGATCGGATTTTTCACATCAGAGAGACATTAAACTCATTTTCAGCTCACAACATAATTGCACATTGCAAGAGTGCAATACTTGATTGCTTTTCACCCTCTTTCATCACCCATTTGGATGTGTGAATGTAATAATTTGAGTGAGAAAACGGCGGTTTAATTGAATCGGTCAGTCTCTGTCGCCCGCAGGACAGTCACACGAGCAATTGCCATGTTCGTGTCCAAGAACGGAAAAGATCATCTTCCCAAGTGCCACATTCACACGCGGCACATCCGCAAGTCTCCGCTCCAGATCGCTGACTGCAGATTTCAACAAATGCGCTGCATTCCGCAGGACATTCCCTGAGCCGAAAGGGCGGCCGCTGGGCGGATGGCAATTATCCCCCAAAAGCCAGGCACGAGGCTTTCTCCAGGAGGCGCAAGCATCCCTCGAGGGCACGATTTCCGGGCTGCCTCACACCAGCTGACTGCGTGGCGTGACTGGCAAGACAGGGCATCGCCGCATGTGGAAGCATTTGGTCAACATTCCCAGTCGCCGCCTCAACGTGTGCTGTGGAATTTGTGTGCGGAACAGGTGAATTCCATATCAATTCGGCCGGTTGTCGAAGGGAAATGAACCATCTGGTGTGGCTGGGCCGCTATTACCTTTCCATTGTTCTTGACTCTTGGCGTATCAATTTAATTTCTTTCCACACCACTGAGTGCTGATGATTCACAAGAGACTCGAGAGTGGCATGGTGAAAAAGTGAGCATACCACAGTGAGAAAATTGATTATCTACAAAAATTCCATTAAAAACCGACTCTCAGTCACACTTGAATGGCTCTTTCTTCCCATTTAACTGGACACCCTTTGGAAAGGTGATCAAAGAAAGGGCTGAGAAGCACTGCAATTGAGATGTTAATTCACTGAATACATCAATCCCTTCCTCAATCCATTTCCTGTGATGTTAATGCCGCCGAATCTCCATCTCTGCTCTCATTTCTCGCTCAATCTTGTGGAATTTTAATGCAACGCTCGAAGTTTCTTCAAACCATCCAAGAAATACCGAAATATACCTAAGTTTTGTCTGCTGAGATTTTTCCATCCAGATCACTTGATTTTCCCTGCTGTTCTTGAGTGTTGTACACCACTTCTGGCCTCGGCATCTCCTTGGCTGCGACTGCGAAGAATGCTGGAGTGACGCAATCCGTGTGTGGCGCAGAGGATGAGGCCTCACACGACTCATCCTCGTGA